TGCTAACGTACGTTTGTGTGTGTGTGTGTGTGTGTTGTGTTAGCAAAATGAACTGTATCACAGAGTTGGACAGTTCATAGTGCACATTCACATAATTCTGTGTGTTGAAGTTGGATTAACATTTCTAGAATCAGACTGGTCCAAATGAAAGATGCAGAACACTCAAGATTTTGATGTTAGGATTTTTTTTAATTGTTCCAACCTAAAACAGACCAACAGCTTCATCACATGTTGTCTTTGTAGAAGGAAGAAGAGACTGAGGAAGATGAACATAAAAGAAATGCCTCAGTGTGTCAAGAGAGGCAGAGGGCTCTGGACAGACTTCGCAGCCTCAAACAGGTGAGATGTGTCTGCTGATAGCTGACTCCACTGTCCTTACCATTATATTACAGCCCCCCTGCCCCCCACCCCTCATTAACATCAAGTTGATTTTAATGAGGTTATGTTTTCCGTAATGTTGGTTTGTTTGTTTGTCCATCTGTGCACAAGATTACTTTCTTGAAATGTTCTGGGCATGTGGTTGTCACAAAAAACAACTGATTACAGCTGCAGCTCTCCATGATCTGACACAAACAGAGACTGAAATAGAAAAACAGAACAGAGGATGATAATGATGATGATGTCATACTGTGACAACCAATCAGCATGCAGCAGAACTTCCACCAATCCCATTTCAGCAGCTGCACACTCATTTGCAAAATCTGGGGACTTAGATGTCTGAAAATCTTTTTACCAGACAAATTAAATATCCGTAGATTAATTACCTTGTTTACAAAAAGAAAAAAATTGTATAGGTCCCTCCAGGTGACTGATACTCACATCACATGGCTATCACATGATGTGAGTATCAGTCACATGGATGCAGGGCTTAAAAGCCTGAATTTAGCCTGAAACTCTCAGACTGAAGAAGTCTCTTGGAGGAGAGACGAAACGTTTCATTAGAGAAGAACCCGTCCAGAAGACCTATACTATTTTTTTCTTTTTGATTTTTTTACCTGGATTACTGAGATGCATCAGGATACCTTGTTTACACAACAACAAAATGACTGAAACGTAAGTGCAGAGTGCAAAGTGGGATGCACAGTGGCAGTATGTGCTCTGCTGGCCGTTCAATGCCACAAACACAGATGGGTTTTAGAGTGGTGTGCAAATCAAACCTGTTCCTCTGTGAAGTCTTTTCCATCCTGATGTGTTGGTGTTTCACTCTATCACTCAGGTACACGCACACACACTCACAGGGATGGGTATCGTTAAGGTTTTATCGATGCTACTACTCTTATTGGTACTGCTTATCGATCCGGTATTTTAACGGTTCTCTTATCGATACTTAGGGAATTGATGGTGGAAATTTTTTTTTTTAAAAACTAGTGCTTGTAACTGTGTGGGTCAGCATTGGTTATATTATATTATATTATATT